TGTGGTGTTGAGGAGATCTGAGGGGTCTGAGGGCAGGGAGATCTGAGGGGTTTTGGGGTCTGAGGAGGTCTGAGGGGTCTGAGGGCAGGGGGAGATGTGAGGGGTTTTGGGGTGGGGGGAGATCTGAGGGGTCTGAGGGCAGGGGGAGATGTGAGGGGTTTTGGGGTGGTGAGGAGATCTGAGGGGTCTGAGGGCAGGGGGAGATCTTGGGTTGTTTTGGGGTGGTGAGGAGATGTGAGGGGCTTGAGGGCAGGGGGAGATGTGAGGGGTTTGGGGTGGTAAGGAGATCTTGGGGGGTTTTTTGGTGGTGAGATCTGAGGCACTTGAGGGCAGGGAAGAGATCCTGAAGGTTTGAGGGTAGTGAGGAGATCTTGGGGCGTTTAGGGTGGTGAGGAGATCTTGGAGGGTTTAGGTTAGTGAGTAGATTTTTGGGGGGTTAAGTTTTTGAGGAAATCTGAAGGTATTTAGCGTAAAGTGCATGTCTTGGAGGTTTTAGGGTGTCAGGTAAATCTGAGGGGTTTTAGGGCAGTGAGTAAATCTCAGAGGATTTAGCATAGTGAGTACATCTCAGGGCTTTTAGGGCAGGGAGGAAATCTTGGGGGTTTGAAGGCAATCAGTGAATATCAGGGGATTTAGGGTAGTGTGGAAATCTTAGAGGTTTTAGGATAGTAAGTCAATCTGAGGGCTTTTAGGGCATTGAGTAGATCTCAGGGTTTAGGGTAGTAAGTAAATCAGAGGTGTTTTAGGGTAGTAAGTAAATCAGAGGTGTTTTAGGGCAGTAAAAAAATCGGAGGGGTTTTAAGGAAGTGAGTAAATCCTGGAGGTTTTAGGGTGGTAAGTAAATCCTGGGGGGGTTTCAGGGCAGTGAGTAAATCTGAGGGGTTATAGGGTTCAGACAGTCAGGAAGACCAGATGAGGGCATTTGAAACCTGAGAGTAGGTGTTTTTTCCACCTTCCCTTTTAAAATCATATTGAAAGTTATAATTTTTATATTCACTGAGCTCCTGTGTAAAGTCACCTGTAAAGAAGCCAGGAAGGGAACAACAGGGAGCAGTGTTTCAAGGGCGTATCCTGGTGTTTGTGTTGGGAATCTCACCACCCACCCAGGTAAAAGGTGGAATGAAATAGGAAGGGAGGCCTGAGCCCTGAGCAGGGATTAAGGCTCGTTGCTCCCAGACACAGGAGAGCTCTGAACCTGCATCAGCAGTAGTGATACACAAGGGATCATCTCTGAAAACAAGTGAGGCTGAAATATTTCCTGCTGCTACACAAGCTTCCTGGACCAGAGGCCTCCAGCAAGTGTTCTTAACTCCTTTTCTTCTCTTTTGTAGGTAATTAGAGTGACAGGTTTTATGAAAGGACTTTACACAGATTTTGAGTTGAAATCAGAGAACGTTAAGGTGGGTGTGAAACTGCCTTGTTTCTTTAGCTTTAATATCACTGTTCTTTGAAATTTGCCACAAGGTGTTTTTGGTCTTTCCTGCCTGTGCTCTCAAGCACCTGCCTTTAGTTTTGTGAAGAGACTGGTGGTGCCTCAGTGAGATGTGTAGTTTTGTTTCTTGCTGGACATAAACTGTGCACAGATGCAAAGGGGGGTGTTAGTCTGTGTTTGCTGCTCTTCTGTTCTCTGCCTCTTTGATGAGCTGGTGCTGACTTCTCCAACCCCTGACCTGAGGGAAAGCTTTGGTGGCTTCCTCAGGGCAGGTGAGGCAGTGTTTGTGTGTTGCTAGTCAGCTGCATCCCTGGGTGATTGACTTAGCAACACAAAGGGTGAGCTCTGAGGGCCTGGCTTGTCATCCACACAGCCAACTTTATTGTCTGGTGGAAAAGGAACTGGGGATGTTGGTTGACAGTGACTGAGTATGAGCCAGCATGTGCCCAGGTGGCCAAGGAGGCCACCAGCATCCTGGCTTGTGTCAATGCTGGTGTGGGCAGCAGGAGCAGGGCAGGGATCATCTCCCTGTGCTGGGCACTGAGGAGGGGACACCTCAAATCCTGGGGTCAGTTCTGGGCCCCTCAGCACAAGAAGGACATGGAGGGGCTGGAGTGTGTCCAGAGAAGGGCGAAGGAGTTGGGGAAGGGGCTGGAGCAGAAGGAGAAGGGGCTGGAGAGCTTGTGAGGAGCAGCTGAGGGAGCTGGGGGTGTCCAGCCTGGAGACAAGGAGGTGAGGGGAGACCTGCTGGCTCTGTAACTGCCTGAGAGGAGGTTGGAGCCAGGGGGATCAGGCTCTTCACCGAAGGAAAAAGTGATAGAAGAAGAGGAAACAGATTCAAGTTATGCCAGGGGAGGTTTAGATTGGATCTTGGGAATAATTTCTTCCTGGAAAGGGCTGTCAGGCCCTGGCCCAGGCTGCCCAGGGTGGAGTCCCCATCCCTGGGGGGATTTCCAAGCTGTGTAGATGTGGTGCTGAGGGACATGGGGCAGGGGTGGCCTAGGCAGGGCTGGGTTAATGGTTGGACATGATGGCCTGAGAGGTCTTTTTCAACCCAAACTGTTCTGTGATTCTGTGACTCAAACTGCATGGATGTTTTATGGACTTCTTGCAGCTAATGTCAGGACTGACATGTATGGTTATTTTCTTAACTGTTCTTATTGTTGTTGGGATAATTAAAATCTCAGCTGTTTTACAATGAATTGTTGTGCTTGTTGGTGCTGTCCCTGTTGAATCTTGTCAATAGGTTCTGGGGTTAATTGTGGGTCAAAAAAGCACATTTCTTAGCAGCTCCTGAGTATTTATTTGTATCTACAATGACAAGGGGTGTGAAGTGGCACCAATCCTGACTACCTCTCTGAGAATTTCTTTCACAGTCCATGAGGTCATGGTTTCCAGAAGCTGAGACAGGAGATCAAAATGCTGTAGTGTTTGGGAAAACCCTATGGGCAGGAGGTCTCACCAGCCCAGGTTGCTCCAAGCTCCATCCAACCTGCCCTTCAACTCTGCCAGGGATGGGGCAGCCACAGCTTCCCTGGGCAACCTGGGCCAGTGTCTCACCACCCTCACAGTGAAGAATTTCTTCCCAGTGTCCAACCTAAATCTCCCCAGTACATTCTGCTTGGATAGCATTTTTTTTTTATATCCACCCCCAAAAAAATAGTCTCAAGCTCCAGTCTTTGTAGGTGTTGGCTCTATGTTTCTCACAAGGGTTTCTTAGGTGGACAGAAAAGACTGGGAATGTACCTATTGATGAGGATATAAGAAGAAATTCTGGATCTTGATCTGCTGTTTTGGGTTTAGAGTAGTGTGTTGCCTCCTTCCCTACATTACTAGATGGCATCCTGGGAAGGATGAGCTGTTTTAATAGGAGGTCACCAGGAGCCTTCCAAGAAAATCTGACTTGGTGGGAGTTGGTTTATTTTGTCTTGATTTAATTTGATTTTGCATCATTGCCAAAAGTCATCATCTCTAGTCAGGCAAGGGCACTTGGAGCAAGTTGTTTGGGAGGTAAAATTGCAAAACTAACCCCCATGTGGTCATTGTGAAGATAAAAATATCTGCCTGTGTCTCTTTCCCACCCCCTTTCCTGTGTTTTCTTTCCTCACTGTTAAGTCTGGTTTGTGAAGTGTGTGTACAAGGATCTGAGTCCCTCAATTTAGGCTCTCATTAGTGCCATCACTTTGGGACTTCTCAGCTGGAAAATCCTCAAGGCAAGAAGTGTCTTTTTAATCAGGATCTGCTGTAACAATCCTGTGGTAACTCTTTAATGATTCCTTTGGGGCTCCTGGCATGATTTGTCCTTCAAAAATTTGTCTTCTTTAACATGGAATCCATGAAAATAGAGCTGAATGGAGCTCAGTAATAACCATCTTCAAAAGACAAAGTTCTGGGGTCATTCCAGCTCAGTGTCCATCCAAGCTGTCATTTCTTAATCAGAAATAAAAGATTTCACTATAAATCAGGGGCAACCCTCCTTCCTGACCTCCCAAACCACCTGCTGCTCCTGTTGCACAGATACTTTCTGCAACTTTCTGCACGCGGCAGCGCAGAAGAGAGAGCGGCAGCATGATTTAATTTGATTTTGCATCATTGCCAAAAGTCATCATCTCTAGTCAGGCAAGGGCACTTGGAGCAAGTTGTTTGGGAGGTAAAATTGCAAAACTAACCCCCATGTGGTCATTGTGAAGATAAAAATATCTGCCTGTGTCTCTTTCCCACCCCCTTTCCTGTGTTTTCTTTCCTCACTGTTAAGTCTGGTTTGTGAAGTGTGTGTACAAGGATCTGAGTCCCTCAATTTAGGCTCTCATTAGTGCCATCACTTTGGGACTTCTCAGCTGGAAAATCCTCAAGGCAAGAAGTGTCTTTTTAATCAGGATCTGCTGTAACAATCCTGTGGTAACTCTTTAATGATTCCTTTGGGGCTCCTGGCATGATTTGTCCTTCAAAAATTTGTCTTCTTTAACATGGAATCCATGAAAATAGAGCTGAATGGAGCTCAGTAATAACCATCTTCAAAAGACAAAGTTCTGGGGTCATTCCAGCTCAGTGTCCATCCAAGCTGTCATTTCTTAATCAGAAATAAAAGATTTCACTATAAATCAGGGGCAACCCTCCTTCCTGACCTCCCAAACCACCTGCTGCTCCTGTTGCACAGATACTTTCTGCAACTCCTCCTCCCACCAGAGTTCTCCTCCTCTTCAGGTGCCACGTGGAACTCTTTTGGAGCCTCAGGATCATTTCCTAATTGCTCTTTTCCCAGGATAAAGATGCCAAAATCAGCTTCCTTCAGAAGGCAGTTGACACTGTTGTCATGGTGACAGGAGAACCTCTGTCAGTGAAACCAGCACGTGTTGTGGCTGGACATGAACCTGAAAAAACCAATGAATTCCTCCAAGCCATTGGGAAGTGTTGCTTAAAGAAGGTATGACACCACCTATGCATTTTTTACACACAGTGATTTGTTATCAGAGCTTATTATTGACACTCACCTGCTGCTTTTAATTACCCCAGATGAACCTTGGCTCACCACTTAGAATAATAATGAACAAAAGGAACAGAGACAGTTTCTCATCCTGAGCAGAGTTTCAGCCAGGCCCCCACACAAACACATACAGTGCTTTTAATGTGTGCTGTTTTATCTATTTCACCTTGTTCATTGGTCATTTAATAACATCATTAGGTTTTAAGGAGATATATGAACCTTCAGAGCTTTAAAAACGTTTGGATGCAGGCACAGTAATTGTATGATCAGATGCTGCCACCTTTGGCTTTTATCCCCTTTATCACTTCAGTCAAATTCTGTAATGAAAGTGGTTTTATTTTTCAATGTGCAGCTTTATTTATTTATTTAAGAGTATGGAAATGCAGCAAGGGAGGAGTGTGGCAAGTTGTGAAAAAATAACTGCAGGGGTAGTTGGGAAAAGAATGGCTGCTTTCTGAAAATAATTGTCATGAAAAGTTAGGGGGCTTCTTTGCTGGTAGGTGTGAGAGAGGTTTCTGAAATAGAAAGTTATCTGAAACCCTGGAATTAAGGAGTGTGAAGAAATGTGGGCATGGTGGACAAGATTTCCTTCAGTTTCTAGCTCTGTACTTGCAGTGCTTAGCTGAGACACTGCTTGGAGTTACATCCATCCTTGCACCCACCCTGTAGATACTTCCAGGCATTAACAGGGTCTCCCCTCAGCCTTCTCTTCTCCAGGCTCCAGTCCCAGCTCTCCCAGCCTTTCCTCAGCAGGGAGATGCTCCAACCCCCCAGTCATCTTTGTTCCCCTCTCTCTCTCTCCAGCAGTTCCCTGTCTCTCCTGAACTGGGCACCCCACAACTGGACCCAGTTCTCCAGATGTGGCCTCACCAGGACAGAGCAGAGGGGGAGAATGACCTCCCTCCACCTCCTGGCCACACTCTTCCTTAAGCACCCCAGAACTCCATTGGTTCTCTTGGCACATTGCTGGCTCATGGATCATTTACTGTCTACCAGGACTCCCAGATCCTTCTCCTCAGAACTGCTTCCCAGCAGGTCCACCCCAAACCTCTATGGGTGCCTGGGGTTCTTCCTCCCCAGGTGCAGGACCCTACACTTGCCCTTGTTGAACCTCATGAGGTTCCTCTCTGCCCAGCTCTCCAGCCTGTCCAGGTCACCCTGGATGGCAGCACAGCCCTCTGGAGTGTCACCACCCCTCCCAGTTTGGTATCACCAGAGAACCTGCTGAGGATACATTCTGTCCCTTCATCCAGGTCCTTGAGAAGATGTTGAACAAGACTGGATTGAGTATTAGAAACCAGGAGAGAATCAGGAGTCAAGCCCTGGGGCAGCATCAGCTTGAGTGACCTAAAACTGGTCCTGATTCAGGAAGGAGACTTTCCTGGCAACCTGATTATTTGTTCCCTTTTTTTTTTTTTGGTTAATGTCATCAAAATCTTTGCCACTTGGACATGAAAACATGATGTTCACTTCCTCTCTAAATGATCAAATTAATAATTGCTGGTCATATTAAGAAATGAACCAGATAGAGAAGCTTTTTAACCAGTGTAACTGCAGCTTATTGAGAGTAATTCTTAAGGTAGTTTTCTTTAGTGACTGGTGCTGATTGAGCAAGGATTAGGTGATTTTTGAGCAAGGATTACTTGGGTTTTTTTTTCTTCTGAAGTGATATTTCCAAAAGAGCAGGAATATAAACTTCATTCAAACCAAACAAAACCAAACCTGAAACACCCAACAGACCCAAACAACCCCAAAACACCCATCAAACCAAACCCAAAACACCCAACAAAGCTCAAAACCAAGCAAAGCCAAAAAGCAAAACCCAAACCAAACCCCCAACCAAACCCCAACCAGACAGAAAAAAGACCCCAAGCCATGTTGATTACAGAGTTAGGAAGAAGGGAGATGTTTAATAACAAAAGGTACTTGTTTCAGTCACGTTTTCCCACTCCCTGCAGCTGTCCAGTGATGCGGCTGTGAAAAGGATCTTAGCTGGGGAAAGACCTGATCCTAAAGAGAAACCTCCACACTCTAAACCTCGAGATAAAGAAAGCAGAGAGTCCAAACCAGAAGAACAAAGAAACCGTAGGCACAAAGAGGTGGGTTTTTGTGGGATGGAGGAGCTACCACTTGATCCAGTTTCTTTTTTAGTTGGAGTTTTTGTCTGTGGAAGTATCTGTGGGATGATGTGTCATGGATTGGGATGAACTTCTGGTTTTTGCTTTCTTTTTAGGATAGAGGAGACACTGTAATTAAAGACAGAAGCTCAAGCAGAGACAGCAAGCCAAAAGGAGAGTTGAAAGAGAGTGGAGAAGGAGAAAGGGATAAGGAGAAGGATGTTGAAAACAGGCACGAAGAGCCTGGAAGAGACACCTCTAAGGAAGGAGAAAAACAAGAAAGGGAAAGAAACAAAAGCAGAACAACCAAGCACGGGAGAGAGACAGAACAAAACAAGGGAAAAGGAGACACAGAACAAGAAGATGATCTCGAGCGTGGAAGGAAAGGACAGGAGAGAGAGAGAAAAAATGAAGGAGGAAGAGAAAAGGACAGGCTGAAAGGAAGAGACAAGGATAAGGCTCGGGAGAAAGAGAGAGGAAAAGAGTGGGAAAAGGATCGGCAGAGGCACAGGGAGGAAGATGGGGAGCACTTCAGGGAGCATGGGAAGGAGAAAGCAGAGAAGAAGGTAACTGAAATCTTGTTTCAGAGGCCAAGAACATGCTGTGCTGGGACTGAAGAGTTCGTTCTAATCACCTTGCATGTTTGTGTCCTCTGCTCCTTTAGTTAAGTACTTTCTTGGACAGTGATTCATGTCGTGAGGTTAAATTGTCCCTGTGGGTTTGATCTGGGAAGAGCATGACTGAGACTGTGTGTGTAACTTCATGTCTCTGTCATGGTGCTTCTTGATTGGAGCCATCAGACTCATCTGACTGTGCTGCTTGTACACCTCATAAGCAGCTTCTTGTCTGAATCCTCCTGACCACAGGAGGTGATGTTTGGCACAGAGGTGGCAGTGCCTGGTGGGGCTGTGCACTTAGATCATCAGGTGTCTTCCCAGTAGTGTGTGCTGCTGGTGCAGCCACACCAGCTTTTAGGCAAGAAGGGAGTTCCTTTGGGCCATAACTAGTCTCTCTTGAGCTTGCTTCTTCTGTAGCAGGACACACAGGATGGAGTTGCACATCTATGGGGTCTTTTTGGCTTTCTAGATTAAGCTGCTCACTTCCAGCTTGACCTCTTTTTGGATATTTTTTTTTTTCTGGAAAGAACTCTTGGGAAGCCCATCTAGATACTTGCAAGGGGGCCCTGTTTGCAGTGGACTCTTCACATCATGTCACATCTTTGAGGAGGAACACCTCCACCATTTCCCCACACTTCAGGCCTTCTCAGTGTGAAGTCCTAACCTGCCTGAAGAGCCATCTCTTCCCTGCCTTCCATTTGGTTGTTCTTTTAATCTTCTCTCTCCTGCCTCTCCTGTTCTGCTCTGTTCTGTGCTGCTGTGGTAGAAATTCAGGTTTAGTGGACCTCAAAGCTGCCTCTGTTCTGAATCTAAAGCAACTAATTTCTTTCCAGTCTGCAGATTCTGAGGAATCCATACTTAGAAAAACCCAGAGGGCAACCAAAGAGAGCAAGAACCATCCAGATGATGAGGTGAGTAGCAGAGAAGATCTGGGAAGGTGAATATTGAGATGGTTGCATTTAGAATAGTTTGGGAGTCTGCATGAAAGGAATGTAGGGTTGAAAGGATTTCTTTGTAGTTTCTCTGAGCTTGGACAAAAAGCAAAAAAAAAAAAAAGTCTGCTCAGTTTTTTTTCATTTTCCTGATTTTCTTTCTCTGTATTGATATGTTGGGTAATTTAGGAAAAACGTTTCCAAGTTTTCAGTTTATTCCTCTGAATATTTTGTTGTTTCTTTTATATAAGTTATTGTTTTGGAAAGAAACTTGAGTGCAGTGTTGCACCTGGGCCTGTGTTTTGCAGCTGGATGTTGGTGAGCCAGGACAGCAACTCTGAACAGTAGCTGTTGCATGTGATACCACTGTGGCTGCATCTGCTGCTTCTTGGTGACCTGAGGCAATCTGGGGAATGATGGAGCCATATGGCTGAATATTTAAAGAGTGAGACTTCAATAAATTAACCTCAAGCAGCTCAGACTGGGGGGGGGGAGGGAGAAAAAAAAGTAGGCAGGATCCCAAGTCTAGCAGGATTCTTTGCTGAGAGTCCGTGGGCCACTGACATCATCCTGTCTTCTGCATGAGATGACAAATTTATAGCTATTCTTTGACTGAAATCCAAAGAAACTTTTCAAATTATTGGCACTTGGGAGGGAGAGCTTATAAAATAACTTGTAGCCTGAGGCAAATGTCCGTGGCCAGGTTAAACTCCCTTCAAATTTGGTCTGTCATGGAAATTCTGAGCCTCCTCCCAAACTATTGGAGTGCTGTTGGGCACCACAATAATACAATAATAATCAAATAAAAGTTTCATTTCCCTTCTTAAGTGCCTTTGGGAGGGATTCCAAGGCATGTGGGTTTATTACCTTAAATGTGGATGAAATCTTTTCCCTGACTTGCTTGTGTAACAGTAGGTGCTGCTTAGTTTTTTGGTGATGAAAATAGACATTTTAGGCCTTGTGTTTGACAAATGGTCATTGTCTTAAGATCGTAGTAGAGAAGAATTGAAGTGTTCCCAATGAATATTTAGAGCTGGAGAGTTTAGATAGTGATGTAGAGGGAATTCCAGCATGAAATAATTGGGAAGCACATCTAATGGACTGGGGTTGGTCTCCCCTGTCCTCACAGTAGTTTCACAGCCTTTATTTTCCAGGGATTTACCCTGGTTTAAGCTCCTGTAACTCCATTGCAGCCACATGGCAGTGAAGCAAATGTATTCAAAAGAAGGGAAACTTGTATCTTTATGCACACAGAATCATGGAATGATTTGTATGGGAAGGGACCTTAAAGATCATCCAGTCCCAGCCCCCCTCACCATGGGCAGGGACACCTCCCACCAGCCCAGGTTGCTCCAAGCCCCATCCAACCTGCCCTTCAACACTGCCAGGGATGGGGCAGCCACAGCTTCCCTGGGCAACCTGGGCCAGGGTTTCACCACCCTCACAGCAAAGAGTTTCTTCCTAATTTCTGTTTCTAGTTTCTGACCTAAGTCTCCCCTCTTCCAGTTTTGATCCATTACTCCTCATCTTCTCACTACAAGCCCTTGTCTCAAGCCCCTCCCCAGCTTTCCTGGAGCCCCTTCAGGCACTGGAAGGTGCTCTAAGGTCTCCCTGGAGCCTTCTCTTCTCCAGGCTGAACACCCCAACTCTCCCAGCCTGGCTCCAGAGCAGAGCTGCTCCAGCCCTCTCATCATCTTGATGGCCCTTCTCTGCAGTTTCTCCATGAGCTCCATGTCCTCCTTCTGTTGGAGACTCCAGGGCTGCACACAGTACTCCAGGTGGGGTCTCACCAGAGTAGAGGGGCAGAATAATGCATAATTAATAAATCTTCAGCATCTGCCTTCAGCTTTTTGTAAATGTTGTATGAGTGAAACAATGTGAAGCAGCCCCTCTCAAGCAGTGGCTGATAGAATTAACCTCCTCTTTTCTTCTTTGTCCCTTCTTCATCCTCACACTCCAAGCCCAGTCTTACTGGCTTCACACTGGAATGAGCTGTTTTGTCTTCCACTTGATTTTCTCCTTGGAAATTACCATTGGAATTTGGTCTTCTCCTCAGACATGCTCTTTGGCAGCACAAGGATGTGAAAACTGGGTTGAGAAAGCAGTGGGGAGAGGGGAGCTGTGATTACGTTTGAGATGTCTGTGGAATTTCAGGCTGAGTGGCTTCTATGCTACATTTACTTCAGACAACCAATGAATGTAAGGTGTTTTCTTTCCAATATTCTACACATAAAGCAAAGCTCTTCCTTGATGTTTAATTTCTGGCTTTCTGAGATGAGGACCCTAAATAAGCTTCTATCTGTATTCAGGCAAGTTGTCATTTTTTTCCTTGCTGCTAATTAGCAGGGACTAGCTTTAAAATGCTACTTCAATTTTGACTTCATTTATTTATTTTAAACTATATGTATTTTTTTTCTGGCACTGAAGAAACTGGATGCTGCCCAGCATGTAGTTGTCATCACATAGCTATTGATAATTTTCATAGAGTCATAGAAGGGGCCTTAAAGATCATCTAGTTCCAACCCCCCTCCATGGGCAGGGACACCTCCCACTAAACCAGATTGCTCAGAGCCCTCTGGAACTAAAATAAACCAAGTATAAGTAGGAATGAAGAAGAGACATTTGGCTAACACATGGCAGGCAGAAGAAGACTTGCTGCTTCAGGTGGTTTGTGATCAGGTCAGTTAACTCTCAGCCCACCTTATTTAAAATGGACACTTCCTAGCGTGACTTTGTTGAGCTTCTAAATAATAAGAAGAACCTGAGAAAAGGTGATTCAGGTCACAGAGCTTCTGGGAGCTGTTTCTATCCAAGTGGCTGCAGAACAGGTATGTCATTTAACCCCTCAGGCCAAACATGTTGCAAAAAGTCTCTTCCATTTCACAGAAACTCTTGGCTAAAGCTTTTTGCAATATCCTGTCACTTTTAATAATGACTCTTCTTTTTTTTGCCCTGCAAACTCTGTTGTTCTGGAACTGGTCACTTGAAGCAGCTTCTAAGTCAGATCTAATGAGCTTCTCTTTCTGTTGGAACTCATCTTGACTATATAATGAAACAACTGCTGAGTGGAAAAAAAGGACATAACTGGCCTGGGAGCAGCAGAGGGACTCATTCCATGGAAGTCTGCTGGATATGGCTCAAATATTTCCCATCCAGTGCTGTGAAAGACCCTCTCTTTATGGTGTTGGTTATTCACAACTGGCGCATAGAATAGAAATCCATCATTAAAACTTCTATTTTCAAAAGCAGGGGTTCTTCTAAGAGTCATTTTGGTGTTTGAAAGCTTTTTGTTAGCAGAAGGTGACACCAACAGATCACCATCTTGCCAGCCTTGACTTGAGGAAAAGGTAAATGATCCATATTTTCCTAAGAAGTTCTACCACTGCAGCACTCCAGTTGACCTTGGCAAAGAGAAGTCTTCCCTTGCTGCTCTTGCACACGAATAATTTGTGCTTGTTAATGAAGACAGTCATTTTTAGGAATAAATATTAGAAATAAGGATGGTTTGAGGGGCAGAGCAAAGAAGGTCTTTGAGGGATTAGATGTGGCTTTCACTAGAAGCATTGGAAAGGAGCTGTGTTTATTTCTTAAGGAATAGTCTGTGGCACAAGGTGAAAATGTGTTTCTAGATGTAATTTTGTTTCTCTACAACATATATGTACTTTTATTTCTCTAAAACTGACGTACTTGAAGCAGCACACGTGCAGATACTCCTCTTGCCTCCTGCCCAATTAGAAGAAAGGTATTGTGGAGGTTAATTGAAATAGATTCCTATTCCCAGGCTTCATTCTTGTTTCTTACTACCCAACTCTCCAGTGGATCTGATGAATTAGAGGGGGAAAGAATCCCCATGGCTGATGGATACAAGGAGTTATCCCCCTCCCTTGCTTGGGTGAGGCTGTTTTTTCTGCCTTCAACTTCAAAACTGTGCATCCATCCACCCACCCATCCATCCATCCAGGATTCCACTTTAATATGTTTTTTCCAGGATGGTGTGAGATGAAGTGTAAGATTTCTTTTTAATGGCCCCAGTGGCTGCTTTCCCAAGGCTTGGAGTTATTGAGAAGAACCACAACCTGTTCTATCTCCCTTTGGAAAGACTCAAATCATCAGTACTGGGGGAATGTGTGTTTTTCTGGGCTACCATAGTGATTAAATGTTAGCTTTTCCTTTGCACCTGTTGCCAGGGTGCACATGTGGCTCTACAAAACTGGTTGTAGTCACGACCTGACATAAATAAATGACTGAACCCACTCCTCCAGAAGCCTCAGCACCTTTTCTCAACTCCTTCCCCACCTGTGCTAATAATTACATCACCCCAAGAGCTGCTGAAGTTGGAGTGCACCAGATGTGGCCTGTGGGCCCACAGAGCCAGACTCTGCTGGTGTGGGAGCTTTCTTTTTGCTCCTAGCATGGTGGTGCAGTTGGGAAAGATGGGAGTAATTAAGTTGAACTGAGATGAAGATTAATTGCTTCAATATCAGCTGTGCAGTTTGGACTTCTCTTTGCTTTGTTTTTTTATAACACACCAGTGTTTTCTGAACAGGAAAACAAAAAATGCTGGTAGCTCTGCTGGTGGGTCAATGAATAATTGTAATAATCCAGTGAAAACATTGCAAGTGGAAGCCAGTTTATGTTGGATTTTTGAGAAGGGTGGGTTGCAGGGCTCTCTTTTGGGTGACTGAATACCTGAACTTCTGAGCCTGCCTGTTATATTCCAGTTGTGGGGAAGGAGATGTTGTTTCTAGCTGTTGAAGGTGACTCTTGTGTAGCCTGCTCCCTTTCCCATACAGCACCTCCCAACAGTCCCACTTGTCTGTTTGTCCATGAACTTCATTCCTCTCCTTCATGTAGGTGGGTCTCCAGTGGGTAGATTGTTGTAAGCTTGTGTAGGTGGGATGTTTCTCTTGTGTGGTCACCTGAAGTAGTTTGAGTAAAAATACCCTATATTTTTAATCATCTTGTGGTGTTATTTTCCTTTATGACCTGTATGGTCCATTGTCCTAGATACAAGATATGGAAAATTAATGTTTTACAAGGCTGAGAGAAATGGGTGTTTTCAGCCTTGAGAAGAGAATGAAGATGGAAGATGGAGACTCCCTTTTTACAAGGAGTCACATGGAAAAGACAAGGGGTCATGGGTCCAAGTTCCTCCTGGGGAGATTCCCATTGGATTCCAGGAGAAAATTTAGCACTATGAGAAGATTTAGAGAGTGGAATGATCTCCCAAGGGAAGAGGTGGAGTCCCCTACACTGGGCAGTTTTAAGACAGGGTGCTGGGCCACCTCATTTCAAGGATATTATCACCTAGAAAGGTTGGACCAGATGATCCTTGAGGTCCCTTCTATGATTCTATGAATTTTCTCTTACAGGTTATTGGACCATAGAATCTTAACATAGAAATGGAAAGATTTGTAATTCTCATTGATGTGACCAATGTGGTCATTATCAGCAGGGTTGACAGTAAATCTTGGATACAGCTGTTAAATTCACACAAACTTCAAAAAAAAGCACACTAGGAGAAAATCCTAGTGAGGTGCAACATAGTATTTCAGGATTTTGAATGAGATGCAGAGGTGGATTCTAGGGAGAGAGGGCACAGAAGCATCAAATGGGGTTCTAGAAATCACAGGTACTTCAGCTCTTGTGTGTTGCTTCCTCTTCAGGGACAAATGTTGCTCATGAGATCAGGGAGCCCTCAGAAATGTCCCCAGTTTTGATCTTCTCCACTTCTGAACTCTGACACTCCTTCCTCTGCCAGTTGCACCTTCAGATCATCCATTCCTTGTCTGCTGGACTCTCTGGCAGGCCCCATTCCTTAGGTGTTCCAGGGTCTTGATACTGGAAAAATACCTGCAGACTTGAAGGAAAACAGACTTTGACATAATCTTTCTATACGTGGGTCAGTTTGTAAGTGACTATTTTTCATGTATAATACATAGAGATAAAAAAAAAAAAAAGCAACAGGTGGAAGGGGATTTTATAGAGAAATAAATAATTTAAAAGATATAATTATATCAGTTTGTGGCTTTTTCTTTTTAAGAGTGAAAGCCCTGCAGGAATATCCAGGCAACCTTCAACAAAAGGATCAAGGCAACGTGCCAAGCCTGGAGGAGAAGGTAACTAGAGGGAGGATATGATGTCTATTAAATATGCTGGAGGGTTATTGCATTGGAATAGCATAAATACTGAAATATCTGTGTTTATTCTTCTCAGTGCTTGTTTGAGACTCCCAGTCTGCATTTATTAACCCATCAGGCAATTTTTCTGCATGGATTTGATCCATAGAAAGTGGTTCTCAGTTCAGGTTGTTTCTCCTGCACAATTGTGGATATAATAAATTCACCCTGCTCTTGGTTTTCACCATGTTCTCTCTGCATGGGCTTTTATTAGTTGGTCCACAACTATTTCTTCTTCTGTTATTCTCACAGGAACTATTTCATTGCTTAAGAATCTGGCACATTTAGACCAATGTGCCTTCTAAGACTTTGGGGCTTTTTTATTTCCCTGTCACTGAGGATTAGGGACAAGTTAGTGGACAGTGTGTCTTTGAAATGATTGCACATTACCTTTCCATACATTCAATGTGTTTCCAGCAGGGCAATATTCAGTTTCAGTCAGGTCTAAGATTCAAGTTCAAGGTTGTTTTAGGCAGATGAAGGGGATTTGTGAGACAAGATGTGCTTTCCTGGAGGGATGAATCACACAGCCACAACTTCAGAGCTCCCAAATTTGGCTGGGGAAACCAAACTTCACTTTTTTTCTGCATTTGCTCAAGGATATGAAGCCTTAGTGTTTGGTCTTGAGAATTTGGGGGTTTAGAAGTGAAAAGATGGTGTTTTGTCAAGAAAACTCAACCACCAAAGCAAAAAAGGCACCTTTTCTGAGATTGAGTCTTTGTTGCCCAGAGCTGTTTAATGGTGCCATCATCAGGGAACATTCCTCCTCACACCTCCATCAGTCATGGACAAGATTAAAGTGGAGATTTTAGTCTTGGGATGGTTTTAACTGAGTTTAATAGTTGTGCCAGGCTTTGCAAATAAGCAACTAATTGTATCTATTAAGGTGCTTCCTTAACAATTGTCACCAGCTTTTGTAAGTGCACTGAAGATTATTATTTGCATCCTAATTGGAACTACTAGATTCTCTTCAGAACATCCCAAGTACTTTTATCACACTGGTTATTTACTGTGATAACCAGGAAAAACCTGGTTATTTACTGTGACTCCAATTTTCTTTGAATGGTTTTGTACCCTGGGTGCTGATACTTTCCTGCTGCTGGAGAAGTCACTGGACATAAATCAGTTGAACATCTCTCCTGAGAAGATGCAATAACATCTGTGAATGTTAAAATGGTTAATTATGGCTAAAGATTAATGAAGCATGAAGATCTTCACACACTTAATCTGCCCATGTCACTGCTACTAATTTAGATGGTGTGTTGCTGTGTGTCTTCCCAAGCACCCACCTTTTCCTTGGCTTTCTGTTGTAAGAGTTTTCCATGTGTCCAGGGCAAAATCCTGGAGTCATCTCAGACCTGAACAATCAATACCCAGGTTTTCAAAGGGGCTTGGGGAGAAAAAAAAACATGAAAAATGTTTAGGCACCTTAAATACCTTGGAAAAAGATCTGGCACTTTGGATGTGAAAGTCTCTTGACCTTAATCCAAGTTGTTGCTTGTAAGTTCAACTTATGTGCTGTGAGGTTTTTGAATCACTTTGCAGCTGGAAGATACCAGCTGGATTCCATTCTATACAGTCTGATTTTACTCCTCACTGATCCTTAGCTGATCCTAGAACTCATTTTTTTTTTAATTTCCCAAGATTTGAACATTTTTTTAATGAGCATGAACTGTTGTTCAACTGCAGTGCCCAAACACTTCCCCTTTTAAATCCTTCTTGTAAACTCAGGATCCAGTTTTGTTTCTGATAACTGAAACACACTTAACAACTTCCCCTGTGCTTTGGCTGTCAGGTAAATATTTTAAAATGCTCCCCTTTTCAGGGCAGGTTTTTCAAATTTCATTCTATCAAAATGAGAAACACTTTTTTTTGGCTTCTAACTCATAGGTGAGAAGGACTCCTGGGTGCTCCAGTAAATAATCCAGAGGGTGGGATAAATAAAAGCACAACAAGAGAAGACAACAGGACTAGAGTCATGACTAAACATGTAATAAACAAAACTGAAGTGGTGCATGGAGGGACTAGTTAAGCAAAACCAGATATATTTGCTATCCACTAATTAAAGCAAGTTATCCCAGCGCATGCTCACCTCTGTTGTGAACAGATTCCTAATGGTTTTGTTCTTTAAAGTCAGTGTGACATTTGTTACTGCTCAGGCAATGATTGCTTCTGTAGTTGCAAGGTCCCTTGCAGCAACACTTGCAATCCCTGGTTGTTACGTTGACCATTTTTATTCTTTAAAAAACTTGCTTTTGCTCTTAACTGAGATCTGAGCAGGTTTCCTTTCAGAAACTGAATTAACTTTCTAAATGGGAGTGATGCTTCACTTTGCACTGTTGGTTTGGCTTTCCTGCTACACTCCAGGCTTGGTGGGTAACTTGTGGAAACTTGTGTTTCAGTTTTAATAAATGACAGTTGATCCTGGCCCTGGTCAGGTAAAGGGAAGTGCTGGTTGACCTCTCTCTGTTGTGTGTTTATCTCTCCTGAACTGGTAGAACTCAGCACTTCTTCAGCAAGGGAGTGTGTCTCTATGTGTGCTCCCAGAGCATGGGTAGAGTTTATCCTCCATCTGTGTGTTGTCTCTATGTGTGCTCCCAGAGCATGGGTAGAAGAGTTTATCCTCCATCTGTGTGTCCTGAAACCTTTCTGGTTTTGCTGTGTGCAGGAATTTCAGCACTGGTTTTGGAAGTGTTGGCTGTTTCACCCCAAGCATTATAGAATGGTTTGGGTTGGAAGGGACCTTCAAGATCACCTAGTTCTGACCTCCCTGCATGGCTTGATCTAGTCAATATTTCCCCTGCTATCAACACTGTTTGCACACTGTTCTGGTGGTGGGAATGTTAGCTGAGATGTACTAGCTGCAGGCAGGGGCTCTGGAAGTCTGTTCTGTCCCTTGGTATCACAGTTCAGCTCTTTGCAGAGAACGTGTTGTGGAAGTGCTGGGCTCAGCTCCTGGGCAGCACCTTGGCCACCTCTGATTTAAACCCACCTGTTCCTTCTGTGTCTGAACTTATTCTGCTTCTGCTGCATTTTATGGAGTGTGAGAACTGAACATACTACTCCAAGTGAAGAGGGGGTGTGTGTATTTGTATATGTAATGATAAAACTAAAGATCCTACCTATTCTGCACACATTGTGACCAACTGTATGAACAGTTGAGCTGCTTTTGACCACAGGTGTTAAAAACACAGGTATATTTTCAGGAATGATGTCCAAATGGTGCTGAATCATTTCTCCTTTGCCTCCCTCAGCCCTGGATGTCTCTTTTCCCTCTGCAGATGGTTTAGGAATCAACTCTATGCCCCAGTATTTCAACTTCATTCCACTGTGTGTCACTTCCCTTTTTGTCACCCTTGTCCTATTGTAACCGGGGGAGTTAATTTAAGATAATTGGGAGATGAAATGGTGTTTGATTTCTTTGGAAAAATTAAAATGTTTAAGGTAGCATGAAAAATGAACAACTTTTGTGGACTAGGCTCTCCTGTGGCATCACCAGCAGCAAGTTGTGGAGTTCAGCTGCCAGCAAAAGCAGCTTTGCTGGCTTGAAATTTCTGAACGGCTTTCACATGAAATGTGTGTAAATTGAGACAAACCCAAGGGCATTAAGCATTCCGAGTACCATCCAGACAATATTGTGTATTTTTGGCAATTCCTTCCACTTTATTAGGTAAATATTGTATTGTTTTGTCAGCTGTCAAGCTAATAAATAATATCTGTAAATGATTTCTGAGCTGAAGAAGTTGCCATCACCTTGCAGTAACGTAAGGAGTTCAGGCAGCAGTCGGGTAAGAAAGTCTCTGTGAGCTTTGTACGTTGTTTATTTACACTCAAGGTGGTTTATTAAACTAGGGTGGCCCTTCAAGAAAGTGTGTCAGGTCTTCAGGATGGCTTTTTTGATTTTAAATTTTGATGGTACCTTTGGTTTCATTTGGCTGTCAACCTTTTTGTTGCAGGGCTGAAGGAAACAAGGAGCGCAGCAGAGGAGGTGTCAGAGGACGGTGTTGCCAAACTGCAAGAGAAAGCTGAAGCAGCACTTGCAGCAAAACAGAAAGGTAGGGAGAAGAAAAACTTGGCTGCCTGGGAAAAATCTGACTCGAGTAGCTTTGGGTTGAACTTGAATCTGTGCAGCCAAGTGATTTAAGGAGGGTGGTTTGCACTTAATCCAACCTCTGCCTTGTGCTTTAATTGTGTCTTGTGATGAATGTCCTGGTTTGAAAAAGGTACATTCCCTGTTAGAACAGGTGCTTTATATTCTCTCCTTCCTTCCTCCTAGCAAGTTTTCCAACAGGCCTGTGCTTCCCATGGCCCCAGGAAAGTGGGAGGGCTGCTATCCCTCAACCCCTCAGTAACTTGTTCAGTGCAAGAACTGACTCATTGAACGTTACCTTCTTGTACAAGGATTTGGGAGTCTTGGTGTTTGCATTTTACAGGATTTGAGAGGAAAATTCCACCTCTTCAGCCTTATTCCTCCCTTTTTTTCCTCCCCCAAGCTGTATATAGCTCCTGAGACACACCTTGTTAATGAGGTATTTGCATCCAGCTACAGCAGCCGTGGAGCCATCAGAGCAAAACGGAGGAGGAAGAAGGAAGATTTAAACAAAAAAGCTGTGGGTTTGTTTTCTCCAGCTCCACATGCTTGACCTAGTTAGGAGAGTGGAGACCATGGATGTGGGAGGTCAAAGGCTGTTTTCTGGTCCTTCTGTGGCCTGCAGGGCCTCGTGGCTGTGGCAGTCTCATGAGATGTAGACAATTGGCCAAGACATTTGTGTGACCTTACACAACTTGGAGAGGGTCCATGCTAATTCCTTTTAATCTTTTGGAGCTCTCTTGTCTATTGGATTGTATCTATTATGAAAAATAATTTTATATTCCTCTATTTCTAATTTGCATATATGGAAGTGGAGTAGTACCCCAAGGTTCATTACTGGTTTGCACTAGATTCTCAGTTATGAGAACCAAATATTGTATTGACTCTTACCATAGAATCCCAGACTGGTTTGGATTGGAAAGGATCTGAAAGACCATGCAGTTCCAACCCCCTGCATGGGCAGGGACACCTCCCACCAGCCCAGGTTGTTTCAAATTTTCAGCTTCATTCAGTAAGACAGTGTAACATAGTGGTGCATTCATGAACTTGATTTTTCTCTGAAGTTCTTACAGAGAACATTTCTTGTCTTCAGCTGCCAGTGAAAGTTAGGAAGGGTCCCAAAGGAAGAATCTTCTATGGGATTTAAAAATAAAAATAGCAGCTTCTTTCCCTGGATCTTTTGGAGTATGATTTCTGCATTCTGCTACAGTCTTATATTCTGAAAGGTTCAGAGCATTGAGGCTTTGAACATTTCCACTGTGTTGGGTGGTTCTTTGGTTTCTAAGTGAGGATTTGTCAGCATATGCCTTATTCTTCTTCATGTCCTCCTTTAGGAATCATCACTGGCCAGCTCATGGCAGCCTCTAAAATAAGAACTATATGTTTAAAAGATGTTTTGTCCTACTTCTGCTATTTGCTCATACATCCCTGAAGCTGCTTAGGTTCTACTTTCTTTGGACATGCACATCCCTGTGGCAAAAAGGGAGGAACAGTTTGGTTTCATGGTCACACTACAAAGTGCAGACCTGCAGGAGGCTTTTTCAGAAGCTGATGTTCATGTGAGGTTTTTCTGAAAGCTCATTCTACCATGAGCTTTTTTTTTTAGGGGTTTCACTACAGTGCAGTTTATCTTCTCACAGTTCTGGGAGTTACTTGGAGTTCCACTTCTCTGGGGAGGAGGAATGCCAGGCTCCTTTGTGAAGTAACATCTTGAAGTAACCTTAAGATAATGTCA